AAGGATTTATAAAATATGTCTAGTAAGCTAGCAATGTTTTATGCAAGATATATCTGTATATCTATCATACACAATTATATACACAAGTATATGTAATCTTAAAAATTAACCATTGGGGAAAAGGCGATTGTGGTTTTCAAAAATATTTTCACTATTTAAAAGCATCGGGGTCTCTATAGCAACCACAGTTTTTTCTCTCTAAAGACTCATTGGTATGTCAAACATGAATGAGAGGACCTGCAAATTTATAATTTAACCCAGAATAAAATGACCAGAGCAAGATCATTTTATTAATTACACTGTTAATAAAATTACATAGTACTGTTTGATTCTGAACTTCATAAGGACTATGAAAGTATCTGCTTAGAAGAAAATTAGGCATTCTCCTCCCTTACCCAGCCTGCTTTGTCTCCCTCCTTCCTGAAATAATAAGTATATAGATAAATATACAAGTGACACCAAACCAAAACAAAATCACTGTATAATTCTTCAGTCGGTGTTTCATAAATTTTTCCCACCCAAGTACCTCTAATGGAAGAGAAGATTGAACACGTACCCCTAGGGATCGACTGCTAGTTTGAAATTTCTTTGAAGTCATCTGTTTTATTTAAAAAATTCATGTGGATTTTGCATTCTACTCCATCATATGTATCTGTTTTAATGTAAAAATGATGTGTTTTCTGCCAATATCTTTGAATTGCAGAGCTCTGGGAAAACAGGCTAAGTTTCTACCACAAATAACATCTTCCATGGACCTCACATATTTCCTGTATCCAGTTTTCCTTTTACCTCACTGTCATTTTTTTTTTCTTTGTCAGTTAATTTGAGGCCTATGACTTCAGGACTGTCTTGCAATAAATGTGCTCTTTGCTATATCAGACAGAAAAGATCCTTACCCTATCAAAATAAGAACTCAGGTTCTAATAATCCAAACACATAGAAAAAAGGTTTCAGTGGTCATACAATTGTTCTTTGCATAAGAGTTACATAATTAAATCATTAACTAAATTAGCCTCATCTTATCTCTATTCCTTCAGCTTAAAAAATGTTACTGTTTTTGATTTTGCTTGTGAAGGTGACCATCACAAATAAAATGAATTATATTGTATTGATCTCTTTTTAGTTCTGCTGGTATGAGTTACACAATTAAATCATTAACTAAATTGGTTTCATCTTATCTATATCTCTTTAGCTTACAAAATTAGTTTTTGGTTTTGTTTGTGAAGGTGACCATTTCACAAATAAAATGAATTATATTGTGTTGATCTCCTTTTATTTTTGCTGGTGGACTGTGAATATATATGCTACACACAGTCCTGAGGGTGACAGAACGAGATTCCAACAGGACTGAAATGTACATTAAGCAAACAAGACAAGTTAGACTCAAATACCAGGAAAATGTATTTAACTATAAATAAAAGGAAACTGGCTTGATCTTTTAACATGTTTTGTTTTTCCTGCAGACTAAATTCAAAAGTATTTTCTCCTAAGGCTTTAGTAGCAAAATATTAGGAAAGAGAGAAAAAAGAAAAGGAATAGATTCTGAACAGTAATATGACAAATGATAGTCAGTTGTCTTAGAGGACAGGGCAGGTGAGATTTCCTGGCATGAGATGCAGCATGAAATCGAACACAGAGAAAGGAATAAAAACGCCTCAAGAGAAAATGTGTCTGGGCACACAGAAATGAAAACTGGGAGGAAATGAAAGAGGGATGCAAGCCGGCAGAATGTGCTTACGAACTTTCTGAGTTGAGAACTCGGAGTCAGAATTTCATAGGGAAAAAATAAGAACGAGCAGAAATAACTTGAGAATGGGGATTGCTGTGCCCCAAACAGTGAGATCGGAAGAGGATTTCTGGCAACAGTCTTTTGAATACACCAGCAGGGAGAATACACAAAGGCAGAAATAATCAAAATACAACACAGAGATTTTGCTCTTCAAATGGATTGGGAGGAAGAAGTTGGTTATATTGTAACAGAAAAATATGAAAGGATTTACCAAAAGCCCAGACACAAGAAATAAACAAATAGAACTGAATGTGCTCCATACTTAGCTAAGACTGGAGGAAGTATAGGTACCCTTATGGTTATGATTATTTCCTTCTAAAAAGGCAATAGCAATGGCTATAATATTTAGAGTAGTATATCAATTACTACCACTACTACTACTACCACCACCAATAATAATAATAATAATAAAGATATCCCTGGTTGATTTGGCTCAGCAGTTGGAGTGTCAGCCTGCAAACCAGAGGGTCACGGGTTTGATTCCCGGTCACGGGCACGTACCTGGTTGCAGGTTCAATCCCCGGTCCCAATTGGGGTCATGTGGGAGGCAACCACTGAATGTGTGTCTCCCACACTGATGATTCTCTCTCTCCCTCCCTCCTTCCACTCTCCCTCTTCTTCCCTCTCTTCTACTCTATCTAAAAATCAATAGGAAAATATCCTTCATGGAGGATTAACCAAAATAAAATAATAATGATAATGATGATAATAATAATAATGATAGCAGTATAGCAACAACTGAATATTTACTAAGTGCCAAGCTTTTTACTACATACCTTGAAAATGTTAATTCATTTTATCTTATTGTTACTATCATTTCCATTTTACAGATGAGGAAACAAAAACTTGAAAGTTGAAATTACTAGTTCAAGGCTACAGAAGTGGTAAGTATTAGAGCTGGGATTAGAATTTTATAAAATCTGACTCAAAAGGCTGTGCACTTCATCAACAGCAGTGGTGGCTGGCAGTGTGTATGATCTGACCGAGCTACAGACATAGCTATAGGTATAGACAAACAAGCATTTAGACTTAAAAATCAAAGCTGATAAAAACTTCATTCTAGATTTCATTAGAATTGTTCCAGCTTATTTTGGCTAAAGATGTGTTTACCAGATATATACATGTAAATTATCCTTAATGTAAGATTTAAAAGTCACCATTGTATTTCTATTTTTTATCCTTACCCAAAGATATTTTTCTGTTTATCATCAGATAGAGTGGGAGGGAGGGAGGGAGAGAGAGAGAGAAACATCAATGTGAGAGAGACACATCAACTGGTTGCCTCCTGCATCACCCTGACCAGGGCCACAGACCGAACTGCAACCGAGGTACATGCCCTTGGCCGGAATCCAACCTGCAACTCTTTGGTCTGTGAGCCGACGCTCTAACCACTGAACCATATCGGCCAGGGCTCAAAGGTGTGTTTTTAAATTCAAGGACCAAGATATAGAAATTCTTTAAAAAAGCAATTGCCAGAAAGTTACTATTAGAGTCGTACTGAGTACAAGTTTCCATTATACTATTAAATTTATTTTATAAAAAAGAAAGCAAATAAATAGTACTATGGAGTCATAATTTGTCTCCTAGTGTTATTTTGGTCCTTGGACCACAAAATGCAACACATTGGATTAAATTAAGAAATATGTTGAGGATTTGATCGACAATACCAGACCAGCAGAGATGACCGCTAGACAATATTACACAAAAAAATATTTTGAGCTTTGTGGACACATTTTCCCCTTCAAAGGACACTAACTGCTTTATATGGATTATAATAAGTGGGAAATGTATATGCTTTTGAGTCCTTACTGAAAGTCTTCAGAGTTATAGAGAGATGTGTTTAATGCAGTGCAATTTCAAATATAAGATTTATGACTCACTTACAGGGGACAATGTACTTTTCCACATATATAATCTCCCCTTCATATGTTTCCTCAATCCTCCTCTCTTTCCTTTTTCAACTTCTTACCAGAGTAGACAATACTCACTAACCGACAGAGCTAATTAGCTCAAATAACAATCTGAGAAACATTTCTGTGCTCCTGCTCCTGTTGCTCCCCATTCTAGGTCTTTTTAATAAATAATAATAATTTTCCTTTATTGACTTTAGAGAGGAAGGAAGAAGGAGAGAGAGAAACATTGATAAGAGGGAACATGGATTGGCCGCCTCCTGCACACCCCCCACTGGGGATCGGGCCCACAACCTGGGCATGTGCCCTGACCGGGAATCGAACCAGCGACCTCTTGGTGCGTGGGTTGACGGTCAACCACTGAGCCACACCGGCCGGGCCCCATTCTAGTTCTTCAGTGATGCCCCTGCTGCCTACCACATTGAGACCGGCCTGCTCAGAATGACACTGACATTTCTGAAATGCCACCTTAACTCTCCAACCTCATCCGTCCTGCCACTGGGCCTTGCTCCGACGGTGTGCCCTCTGGAACGCATGCGCTTTTCATGTCTGTAAAACTCTTGTCCCCAGGCCTCAGTCTTCTGGCCTTGTCCATGAAAGCCTTCTCTTATCTACCCATTCAAAACTCCTTTCTCTCTCATCTAAACGACAGTACATTGCCTTTTCTTGTAGCACTTTTCATATTCATCTTTGTTTTAGAAAATATCTTTATCTATGTCTTTTCTTACCGCCTAGATTTTTTTTTAATGTTTCATTGATTTTTTTGAGAGAGAGAAACATCGATTGGCCGCCTCCTGCACGCCCCCTACTGGGGATCGAGCCTGCAACACGAGCATGTGCCCTGGCCAGGAATCGAACTGGGACCTCTCAGTCCATGGGACAATGATGCTCAATCCACTGAGCCACACCAGCTGGGCATTACCTCCTAGATTTTAAACACACTCAAAGCAAGAAATGTCTCACAATCCTTTGCTATCACCAAAAGCCCCACAGGTAAGGCTCCTTTGCAAACAATATACACTCCAGTGTTTATGAAATGTGCGAACAAACATACTATCTGATCAGAGATATGAAGGCTGCAGTACCCTAGCAGTGTTCCAAACGAAGTCAGTGAAAAGCAGGTCATTAAAACACACGATGTTGTCAAATACAGGCTAACAGAAACTACCTGCCTGTTTTTCTCTTATCAGTAAAGAAACGGAAAAATATATACGATTCATGTTCATAGATTATTTAATCCTACCGTTTAAAATGCAATACTTGAGCAAGGAACAGTCTCAATGCATTTATAAATCACTTACCTTTGCTTGCACTTTCTATATGTTCCAGTTCTTCCGGGAATTTCAGGATATCTCGGTATTTCTCCTCACATATTTCCGCAATAAAATGCAAGAGGGTTGTTTTTTGATCTGTTGATTTAGTATCTCTGATCTGGAATGAAATAACAAAAATTAAAGTGTTTTTTGTAACATAAATATAGACTTTCTTTTCTTTTTTTTAATCCTCGCCCGAGGACATTTTTGTTCAGATAGACTGGGAGGGAGAGGGGAGAGAGAGAGAGAGAGAGAGAAACATCCATGTGAGAGGGACACACTGACTGGTTGCCTCGCACATGACCCTGACCAGGACCAGGGACAAGCCTCAACCAAGGTACGTGCCCTTGACCAGAATCGAACCCGCAACTCATTGTTCCGTGGGCCGACGCTTTAACCGCTAAGCCAAACCGGCCAGGGCGACTTTTTTTTTCTTAAGTAAGTGGAATGAATAAACTCAATTCATCATCAATAAAAATAGTTTGGGGTGGGTCCCACTGGGGTCTAGTAACAATGCCCTGGATTTGAAAATGAGCTCCACATGTTAAAAGCAAGAATGATGAAAAAAACCAAAAACTGTGAAAAATTAAACTTGAATCTGTATAATTAAAAATGTCTCAATTATTACGGCAAAATGAACGATTCTTTCCATGAGAAAACAACTTCCACTTAAATGTTGATAATAGCAGCCCAAGTTAATGTGTGCTTACGTTATCAGCATTCTGTTCTTTGCTTTATCCCAGAAATATATTCTTGAAAGCTGGATTCGTTTGCAAGGTTATATTTATTTCTCGCTATCATTGATGCAAATTAATGTAAAAGAGTAAACACATTTTCCCCTCCTTTACTGCATGGGCCATCAAAAAAGAGTAACTGACAACTTCTTATGCAGATTTATAAACAGAATCTGAGCACGCAATCATGATAATATGACAAAGTTTATTTGTCTGCTTACATATTATATTTCCTTTACAGAGACACTAGAAAAGAGATGCTACAGTTGGAATGATAAAAATCTTTAAAGTGTAGGACACAAAAAAATCTATGATGAGAATCTAAGTGTTTTTCTCAATATAACTCTGTAAGCTGCAAATGAAATCGAGGATTTGGTGAAAAACAAAGGATAAATATGGTATAAAGTATCAAGTTTTCTCATTCTATTGGATGTTTTAATTCTATAATCCTTAGATGATGGGTTCGTCTACTGAAGTTCATACTGATTCGGGGTTTTTAGCTTTAAGGATTACTCTGTTTAGAATAAATGAATATTCTTCACAAACAGATTTATGAAAAGGCTATGGAGGATATTTGGGTAATTACAGAGTAATTCAATCTTACTGTTTTAGTGACTCAGACCAAAAAAAAAAAAAAAACCAACCAACTGCATTTAATCAATCAGGCCCATACTGAATCTCTTCTGTGGTATAGCTGTTTCCAGCGCAATGATATGAAAAACATAAAAGAAATTTTAGTCTCGAGGCTCAAAAGAAACAGCTACAGGAGGTATGATGTTGAAAGTTCAAGTGGCCACAATGATTTATTTCTTCTAAAATTTCTGGGATTACCTCATCCCACACAGGTAAAATATTTAAAACTTGGCATTGTTGTTATGATCAACCTAACACTTTAAAGTACTGCACACCTGAAACGACAGGACTCAAGGGAAGGCTGAAGAACAAAAAGCACCCAGAACCTCAAGGGCAATTTGTCTTTAAGTCTGGCGGCTGTAGAGGAATCAATGGGAGGCTCACTCTCCTAAAGAGAGGTCTTTACCTGGGATTAAGGCGTTACGTGTTCACAAAGTATTGTTTTCAGAGTATGCTGGATATTCCAAATAATAAGAAAATTAACATTTCCTTTTTGTTTTTAAGTACAAATTGCCTAAAGTCCTAAATCCTAAAAACGTCAAGTGCATAAGGAAAATGAAGGTACATCTTCCGAAGGGAAAGGAAATTGATCTGTTTTTCTATGAATTTTGTGACGACAAATACACACACACACACACACACACACAACAACAACAACAACATAAACCCATCTAATTTTTCAGGATACCAAATTGTATAACTATATTATAATTTTTTAAATGCACATGGCCATTTTTTAAAATGCACTTGGAAGTAAAACAAAAATGAAAAACCAACACTGTGCTCATCTGTCAAGTTTATGGGTGATTTAGAACTTCAGCTGTGAACACGCATACTTATAAGTGCTTAATTCTCAACAACTTTTTAATTGATAACCACTTCTTCAAAAGCAGGTCCATTAATTTAATTTCGGTCAAGAAGTTTAGTAGAATCAATGGCGATATTTTAAAAAGATAAATAAAGCATCACATTCAGTTAAACAAATATCTTAGTATTTTTGACAAAACCAGAAAACGTTGTAGACATAGTATGCATGTACTTTTTAATTTTAATTTTATTTTATTCATCCTCGTCTGAGAATATGTTTTACTGATTTTAGAGAGAGGGGAAGGGTGAAGGACAGAGAAACATCAATGTATGAGAGAAACATTGATCAGTTGCCTCCCATACACACCCCACCAGGGATCGAACCCATAATCTAGGCTGTGCCCGGACTAGGAATTGACCCGGCCACCTTTCGGGACACGGAACTATGCTCCAACCAACTGAGCCACACCGGCCAGGGCTGCAAGTACATTTTTAGAATTGTAATATTTCCTTCAAAGCACGGGCAAACATTGCCAAATGCCTGTCTTATCAAGCTAAGAAATACCTTAGTTGCTATAGGAGACAAACTGCTAAACCTGTATTGCAATATTTATTTGTTCAATAACCTCAGACAGAGAGTCTACTTTAAGGTTTCAAACTGGAAAGGAATAATCATGACAAATATGTGGTCTTGTTTATTTTTCTCTATGTATATGACCCTTGGACCAAACATTTTAAAATAAAATTTTAATATTAAAATAGAAGGGGAGCCCTGGCCCGTTTGGCTCAGCAGTTAAGCATTGGCCCGCTGACCAAAGAGTTTCGGGTTTGATTCCTGGACAAGGGCGCGTACCTGGGTTGCAGGTTTGATCCCCAGCCCTGGTCTGTGTGAGAAGCAACCAATGACGTGCCCCTCTTATATAGATGTGTCTCTCTCTCTCGTTCTCCCCCTTCCTCCCTCTCTCTCACTCCCTCTAAAAAGCAATGGAAAGATATTCTCAGGGGAGGATTAAAAAATAAACAAACAAACAAAAATGCAATCTAAGGAGAAAGAATTTTTACTGATTAAAATATATTTTCTGCCCTGGCCGGTTTGGCTCAGCGGTTAGAGCGCCCGCCTGCAGTCCGGAGAGACCCGGGTTCGGTTCCCGCTAAGGGCACGTACCTCGGTTGCAGTTTGTCCCCGGCCCTGGTTGGTCGTGCGGGTGGCAGCCACTCGATGTGTCCCTTTCACATCGATGTTTCCCTCTCTCTCTCTCTCCCTCCCACTCTGTCTGTACAAAAATGGAAAAATGTCCTCGGGTGAGGATAAAAAAAATAAAATAAAATATATTTTCCCACGAATACAGCATTCCCACAGCAGCCGCAGTCTCTCAGGACCCATGGTGGTGTTGTTCAATGTCAGCACAGAAGGCAACAAAGAACCTTCCCCCTCATCAGTTCTCACGGCTAATGGCATTTATCCAATAATTTGCTCTTCCAAGTGCACTAGTCAGACATACACATCTCTTGGGGTTGTATAAAAGTAACCTAGTCTGAGTTTGTACACAGTTACTTCCAAAGTATTTGGGTTAGTTTATTATGAAATAACACCGATTTCCACTTGATATCTGGTTAACTACGAATTAGGTTAATTTTATATTGACATCAAATATTCCAATAATAGTTGTCCCATTGCCTGAGTCTCGGTGGTGACTATACGCATTTCTTTTGTTTTATTTTTTCCTTTGTTTATTTTAGAGAGAGAGGAAGGGAGAGGGAGAGAGAGATAGAAACATCAATGAGAGAGAACATCGATTGGCCGCCTCCTGCATGCCCCCCACTGGGGATCGGGCCCACAACCTGGGCATGTGCCCTGACCGGGAATCGAACCGGCGACCTCTTGGTGCATGGGTCGACGCTCAACCACTGAGCCACACCGGTTAGATGACTATTTGCATTTCAAGGTTTGCTACAGTCAGGAGCCAAGCGCCTTTCTGCCTCCCTGCCCGTGCTCTCTCTCCCTCTCACCAGCCACCGAGAGGCAGGGGTGTAAGGGACACAGGACTTCTCTTTACAAGGTGTCACCCTCCGATCATCTCTCTTGTATATATTTCCAAACAATAAAAACACAAACAGCAGTTCCAGACATCGGAAACCTCTGAAAAAGTTCACAACATTTCAGAGTATTTTAACGAGCTGAGTTACCAATGAGTGATAACAATAAAAGTAAGATGGAGTAGTTCACTACCTTCACTGATAAAGTGCCATCAGTTAATAAACCATGTAGCGATTTTAATTGTAATCATCTGACCAATAAATGTTACACATAAAGATTAATAACTGAATTTATACTAACTGTATCTACCTAATCTTTAATAACTTCCTGAAATGGTACATGAATACAAAATAGCTTTAACAGAACACCTATTTCTATGGCCAATTCTGAGCATTTCTCTTTTTTTAAAATAAACACGAGGGCTATATTATGAAAGATAATATTTATATTTGACATGTTCAACACATTTCCAAAACTTCAGTTAGGTAGGGAGCAGAATATTTAAGCAACTAATTGCCATGTAATATATATATATATCTTTTTTTATTTTAAAAACTCCCATTCAAGCCTGAAAATGTGAGGACTTTGCCCTGTCTCTGAAATCAGGGGATTGAGCACGCAGAAGCCAGCACACAGCCAGAGAGCCCGAGAAAACAACATTTTAATCATCTACGTCAGTCACACTCAATCTTTCTGTGAAGGACCCCTTCTGTAGGTAATTTTTCCTTCTGCTGAGCTTTAAACCTATTTCTGGCCTCAGTGGGAACCAAAAGGAACTGGCCACTGTCCTCTGTACAACCACCTCGCATAGAGGGCAAGTTCCCTTTTCGTGTGTCCTGCTTTCTATACCGGCGATTTGCGCCTTTCTCATCTCGTGGCACAGTAACTACTAAAATTCTGCGGCAC